CCAGACTCCCAGGATGCCCTGCGAGCGCACGAACGCCTCCTTCGACTTCAGCCCGTGATGCCGCACCGCCTCGCGAAACCTGCCCCACTCGCCGCCGAAGTGGGGCCCATCACAGGAGAGCACCTCCGGTATCGCGATCACGCGCGTGGCGTTGGCCACCTCGAACGCCCAGCCGCCGCTTCCCAGGCGCAAGGGCACGGCCAGAGGAAGACAAAGCGCCACAGGCACAAACTCCTGGCGCTCCGCGCGGATGCCTTGGATCTGCGCTGGGCCCCCCCGGGGGCGGCGCCCGAGGCGCCGCCCCCTGGCGCGCTCCGCGCGCCAGGGCGGGGGGGCCCAGCGCAGATCCAAGAAACCCGCGCGGAGCGCCCAACGTTAATGTCGACGGCGCTTTTGCCTCTTCGAACGGCCGCCATGCCGGGCGGGCGGGCCCGGGCGGGGCGGCGCCAATGCTGAGCCTCCAATGGTAACCTGCCGAGGGCCTGTGCCAGGGGCCACGGCCTCCGCGGTGGACGGGATGTCCTCGGCCTCCTCCTCCTGTTCCTCCTCCTCCTCCTCCTCCTCCACCTCCTCCTCCTCTTTACGTAAAAAGTAAACCGAGGGTGAAAACCTGTGGCGTTCTTGATTTTGAATCCTCCTCCTCCTCCTCCGCCTCCGCCTCCGCCTCCGCCTCCGCCTCCTCCTCCTCCTCCCTCCTCCTCCTCCTCCTCCTCCTCCTCCTCCCTCCGCATCGAAGACCTTGCGGCCGGCATGCGCGGAAGGCGGCGGAGCAGCCACGGGCTGTCCAACCGGCAGGCTTGCCGCAAGGACGCTCGGTGAAGGCGGGGGCGGAGCGAAGCGAACGGGTGGGGGCGGAGTGGAGGAGGGGTGTGGAACGCGGGCCTGATTCTTGATGCCGCAGATCGGATAAGCACGTTTCGGCGACCGCCACATGTAGTCATCTGCGCAGTGCCACATCTGAACATCGCGCCAACCCTCTGAGCGTAAGTGGGTTAGGGCAGTAGCTCCTCCGCAACAAACCCTTAAAGTCCTCTTCTGGGACGTGTCCTCCCTCTGGGGTGGTGGTGGCACGGTCGCTGGGTCTCGGGGGTCCCTTTTGGCCCATGAAGGCTCCAATCTGACCCCAGATAATCAAAGATGGCCGGCGCCATCTTGCAGGATCGCCCAAGTTGGCCCAAGACAGCTCGAGCTCAGATCGCCTAAGATTTGCCCACGATCGCATGTCTTCGAGAAGGCCCACAACGGCCCCAAGATAGCTCGAGGCGGCTACGGGGCCTCCGACAGAGACGCCCAGGTGGCACATCGGATAGATTATCCCAGTGCGACCCTACCTAGGACTTGGAGCCCCTAGGAAAGCAACATTAGTAGTAACGGTAAACGCCGTCCTCCTCCTTCTCCTCATCGTCGTAGTTGCCTTTGCTTTTGCTCTTGCCTTTGCTTTTGCCTTTGCCTATGCTTTTGTTGTTGCTGTTGCTGTTGCTGTTGCTTTGCTTTTGTGTTTGCTTTGCTTATGCTTTGCGTGTGCTGTTGCTTTGATGGTAGGGTTCTGCGTACTATATATAAGCGTGTGTGCAACTATCTGTTATGCTATGCTATGACATGCTAAGGCTGCGCTATGATATGCTATGCTATGCCATGCTATGCTATGATATGTTATGCTATGCTAATGCTGCGCTGCGCTGCGCTAAGCTGAGCTAAGCAAAGCTAAGCAAAGCTAGGCTAAGCTAAGCTCTTTGTCTTCGTTACTTTTGCTTTGCTTTGTCTTGCTTTGCTGTGCACCCAGCGACAGCAGGCTGTTCAGCACTGCTCGCGGCTCCTGCAAGTGCTGCAGGCTGTTCAGCACTGCTTGCACGGCTGCAGGCTGTTCAGCACTGCTTTGCTGTACACCCAGCGACAGCAGGCTGTTCAGCACTGCTGTTGCTGCTGTTGCTGTGCCTTTGCTTTGATGCTATGCTGTGCTATGCTATGCTATGCTGCGCTATGCTATGCTATGCTATGCTATGCTGCGCTATGCTCCGCTATGCTGCGCTATGCTATGCTATGCTATGGCATGCTAGGCTGTGCTATGGTTTGCTATGCTATGCTATGCTATGCTGCGCTATGCTATGCTATACTATGCTGCGCTATGCTATGCTATGCTATGCTATGATATGCTATGCTGCGCTATGCTATGCTATGCTATGCTATACTATGCTGCGCTATGCGATGCTGTGCTATGCTATGCCAGGCTGCGCTGTGCTATGCTAAGATATGCTATGATATGCTATACTATGCTATGCTGCGCTATGCTATGCTATGCTATGCGATGCTGTGCTATGCTAATGCTGCGCTGCGCTAAGCATATGCTATGTTCTGCTATGCTATGCCATGCTGTGCTCTGCTATGCTAGAGCTAGGCTGAGATAAGCTACGCTAAGCTAAGCTAAGATGATACACACTAAGCTAAGCTAAGCTAAGCTAAGCTAGGCTAAGCTAAGCTAAGATTATATATGCTAAGCTAAGCTAAGCTAAGATGAGATAAGCTAAGCTAAGCTAAGCTAAGCTGGGGCAGCCCAGGGGGCGCAACTGGGGAACCGCTCGGGGCGAGCCCCACTGCCCGGCCCCTTTAAGCAAACATAATAAGAACCCTCTAGGCAGAGCCTAGGTAGGGAACAACATCAGTTTTTGTATGCAATAATAATACATATAATCGTACTCATAATACTACTAAGCATCATACTACTAGTACTACGAATACAAATTCTATTACTAATACTCATACTACTACTAAGGCTGCTAATAATAATAACAATAATATTAATACTACTATTAATGATACTAATACGAATAATACTAGTAATAACCAGTATGCCAAGTCTGCCTTCTCGCCTTACGTCTTCCGATCGGCCTCTGAGGCCTCAATATGACACAAGCCCCCAAGGGGCCGCTAAAAGTCCAGAAGGAGGTGCCGAAGAGAGTCCCGACAGGGCTGCACGATGCAACTCTTCCGCCTCCAAGGGCGGAGTCCTAGTTGGGGACGCTCCTCTCTCTCATCGGCTACGCTCGAGTTGGCCCCCAATGGGGGGCCCGACGGCCTCGCGGTCACACATGGAGCCCTGACGGAGCCCAACAGAACCCCAAGGCACCTCCTGCGCGTCCAAGGGCTAAGTCGCCTGACTTTGTCCCCCCCCACCCCCCCCGGGGCCCCGCGTGCGCTACGCGTGGTCCCCTTCGCGCCCCCGCGAGGCCACCTTGGGGAAGGGCAGCTCTTTGGCCGAGGCCGCAGGACGCGCGAAGCGCGGTCATCCCCGCACCACCAGGGGTGACTCAGGGTGACCTGCAGTGGAGGCCAGTCCACAAGAAACCTTGCACAAGAAGCCCAACCCTGAGGCCCCAGGACGCCCATGGGTTTTTGGCGTGGGAACGCCACGCTCTCCACGGCAGAACCATCGAAACCCAAGAAACCCAGGGCACCCTGGAGGCAAGCAGGGCGTTTCTAGGCACGGGCCTCCACTGCAGCAGAAGCCTCCCAGAGAACGCCGAGTTGGCCATTGTGAGGAGCTGCTCGGGATGACCCCAACGCCGCTCGGATTCCCCCCTCCCTCTCCTTGCTCCACCCGTCCCCCACCCCCTCTGCCGCTCTCGCGACAGCCCGCGCGGAAGCTGTCCCCTTCTCGATGGGCTGGTGGGACACGCGACGAGGCGCCAGGAGTGGCCTTCGATGCTCCCTCCTCCACGATTCCCAACTTCCACGAGGCCTGGTGGTGACCCTCCTTTGCACTGCCCGAGTGGGATCCTTACACGCATACATGTGTACTTACATATTCATACACACTCGCTCAAGTATGCAGACCTTCGGGGCCGCCAGAAAATGGCGGGACCTGAACTGGAATTTGACGCGAGCTCCCGCTGCAAACATCCCAGGAAAACGGAACCGTCAAAATTCATGCCAGGAGCACCAACAGAAAGGCGGCGAACTCGAATTCTGGTAAACTCGAGTCTCACACTTCCAAAAATATCTGCACTGAGGTGTGCGGGCTTTCGCCCGGAACCCGGTGCGCATGTTCTGTTGAGCGTCTCACGCTCGTGAGCCTAACCCTGAAGCATGTCCACCATAATACTATGCGGAATGGCGGTTGCACGCGCTGGTCATTCCCCCCCCCCCCGGGTGTGATCCACGAGCTTAAATCGGCGGTCTTGGCGGGAGAAGGAGGAGGAGGAGGAGGAGGAGGAGGAGGAGGAGGAGGAGGAGGAGGAGGAGGAGGATGAGAGGAGAGAGGTTGGGAGGAGGAGGAGGAGGTTGCTCAACGTGTCGCGGCGGCGGCGGCCCTGGCGACGCGCTGTGCCCCGTGAGCCGACAGCCCGTCGCCCCACCCGGCGGGGCGGGAAGCTAGGGAAAGCTCGGAACGTTGACGCCCGTGGGAGGAGGAGGAGGAGGAGGAGGAGGAGGAGGAGGAGGAGGAGGAGGAGGAGGAGGAGGAGGAGGACACTTCCTGGCCTGCGTGCTCATCGCCCGTGCGCCGCCGCGCCCGCCGTGGGCAGGGTGGTTTTGGGGAACGAGCGATGACATAAAAATAACAGCTCGGAGGTCCCCGCGGATTTCTCGGACTGGCGCGGAGCCCCCCCCTCCTTGGCGCGAGGAGCGCGCCGGGGGCGGCGCCGGAGGCGCCGCCAGAGGGCCCCGGCGCCGATCCAAGACATCCAGCGCGTACCTTCGAGCTTTTGTGTTCATGTCGCTGTCTGCCCCACGATGCTTAGCGTGTCGCGCCGAGGCGTGGTGGGCCAAAACCGGCGACGCGGCATGCCGAGGCGAAGTTCCTGACCGTGGGCTTAGGTCGGGCATAGGCGGATGTTGGACGAGAAATGAAGAATAGTCAAACATGATCAAACATGGAGGAAAAACCGTCCCCAGATTATTGTTTCATTATTTTTGAAGATTCCTCCTGTAGAGGGACACGCCCGACTTGACCCTGGGCCCGTGCGCCCCGCCTCTGACACGACGGCAGCTCGGGCGGCTACTTT